CACATGAGTAAAGAACTATGGAGATAACTAAGCAGTAGACTAAACACCAGGTCATCATAGAAGAGGACCAGGAGAATATAACACATAACCTATCACAGCAGTAAGTGATTAACTCACTTTCACAAATATATATCCAGGGACATATTTGCACAAGCATGAGCATATACACAACACATACTAAAATGTCAATGTAAACACACAGCTCTCACCTCAATGGAAGAAGGGAGAGTTCATTCTAGAGTCAAATATCTGTGAGTAAAGATGAGACAATTTATGTTAGTACAAATTGCATGTTATAATGTGGAAACAGTTTCATGAAGTTTTTATAGTAACAGAATGAAAAAACTATAGACTCTCCTTAAGTTCACTGGTGATAATATTAAGTAGACTATTATGGTAAAGCAGAGAAACCTCAGGTACAAGCATTAGCAGCTATGTGATGACACACAGTCCTTTGACTGGTTGAAACTTAGAGCTTTGTTAAGGAGACATATTCTGATATATTAAATGTCAGGTCCAACGTCATCTGTTAGTGACAAGGTGTTAGGTAAGTCCAACACAGGGGGCCCAAGGAGTGGCTACTCATGGGCTCAGGAGAACACAAAGGAAATTGTAATTAGGCCCTGGGACTGCGACCTCCACCATCTCCATATCACTGCAGGTCTAAGAGTCAATCAACCAGTCTTTGCAGACCAGCCTCTGCCAAGGAATTCCTGTACACACACACACACACACACACACACACACACGACACCTCTCATTCTCACTCTCCCAGCTCCCTGGTGTTTACTGAGAGCTCAAGGTGTACAACCACGTTACAACAAATCATCCCTGAGCACACATTGGATGGTGAGAGCTACTACCATATGTGGTTAAATGAGATTCCTGTGACGATGGTCATGGACTTGTCTCTGGGACATTTCTCTCATTTGTTTCAGACTGTCAATAATAACCTGTAAATGCCGATAAGAAAATAGGGACAAGCTGCATTACACATCAAATAAAGTTTTTATCATGGGATAATCCATGCTTTCAACAAAAAATATCCTTTGTAAGTTTCATTGACACTTGGTTCCTGACAGTTTACAAGAGATTTAATAATTTGTTAACAAAAAAACAATACATAGGAATTGTGTTTTACAAATAATAGCAGTTATAGATGAATCAAAAAGTGATAATACTTGTGAATAATCCTGACACATAGATCCATAGTGCTGATAGGCTGAAAGATTTCTAAACATTGCTGAATTGGAGACAACCTGTCTTAATGAAGGACA